TGAAGCCATTGCTACATGTATGTTGATGGAGTGAGTGAGTATGGTTAAACGTCGCTTTCAGCAATATTCCAGCAATATCATGACGGACGACGCATGAAATGGGATTAGCACAGTGCACCCTATTGGAAATCGAACCGGGGTCTTCAGTGTGATGTGTGAACGCTTTAGCTTAACCACTAGGTTACCACAACGCCCCTTTGTTTATAGTATGTACATGTATGAACGGTGAATAACTTACACATATCTAACACCATAAGAAATATGTGTAAAGCCCATTTCTGGTGTCCCCCACCGTGACATTGCTGGAATATTGCTCAAAGCAGTGTAAATCCATACTCACTCATTCACTCACAAAGAAACCGTTGCTATGTAGGTAGAATATATGAAGAGCGTATACAATACACATACCTTACTCACTTCGCCACACTGTCAAATGAAACCAAAGCTCTGTTGGTAGAAGATACGAATATTGTATACCATACATACATCTAGCTCACGTCAACACCCGAACAAATCAAGCCAATGCTCAATTGGTAGAAGATATGAATATTGTATACTATGCATATATCTAACTCAAGACGACACCCTAACAAATCAAACCAATGCTATTGTGGTAGAAGATATGAATATAGTATACCATACATATATCTAACTCAAGTCGACACCCTTCCAAATCAAACCAATGCTATGTTGGTAGAATATATGAATATTGAACCCATACCACTTGAAGAACGGAAGATCTTACACCAAATATGGCATAAAACCAAATATGGTATAACACCAAATATGGTATATCTATACAAAAGAACCCATACCACTTGAATAACGGAAGATCTAACACCAAATATGGCGTAACACCAAATACGGTAAATCTATACAAAAGTAGCCACACCACTTCAATAATAGATCTGACACCAAATATAATACAACACAAAATATGGTATATTTCAATATCAACTAACACCTATCTTGAATTTCAAATAGCTACCGTTAATGCAACTCAGTTGAAATTGAAAAATATTTATCCAACCAAGGAGCTATTTCTAAATTAAACAGTTCCGTCCGTCTGAGGAAACGTCCATGTCAGAGGCGGGAAGCTATCATCCATAGTTTGTTTTTAACCTTAACAATAAGCTAGAATTGTTGTTTGCTTTTGTTGAACAGACAGTGGAGAAATACTCCCTTCAAACTGATATCATGATAATTTCCCGCATGAAATGCTTTTTAGTTTGTCCTAGCTGGAACTTCGGGCAAACTGAAAAAAACAATCACATCTAAATCAGATCTTATCCCATTGAAGAGAGTGATACACCACGATTCTGTCGGAACCAGTCGTATATTCCGTAACTGTCGTTTGGAATACCACGCTTTAAACTTTTCCAGGCCACATGATCCGAAAACACATTCCGACTGTCACATTCCTGATCTGGTTAACGAGACCTTTGAAGCTCCGGGGTAGAATAGGTCTTCAGCAATCCATGCTTGCCATAAAATGCATGCAGTCGATTCGGGGTTAGAAGTGGGCTTCAGCAAATCATGCTTGCCGTAAGAGGCAGCGAACGGTGGTAAGGGTCAACTTGATTGATGCATGTTACCGTATCCAAACTACGTGGATCGATGCTCATAATGTCAATCACTGGATTGTCTGGTCCAGATTCGATTATTTACAGACCGCCGTCATATATATGCAATATTGCTGAGTGCGGCGTTAAACTACAAACCAACCAACCAACTAGCAAAGACTTAGGATTCTCGTTGGAGATTGATTGTAGTTGAATTGAAATTATGTCGTGTACATGAGCATTGACAGCTAGTCAATTGAGACCCGTGAAGATCTGGATTGGAATATGTCTCCAGCAACCCATGTTTGACGTAAGAGGCGATTAACGGGATCGGGTGGTCAGGCTCACTGACTTGGTTGACGCGTGTCTCCGTATAGCTGGAATACGGCTGAATGTGGCGTTAAGCTAATCTCCCGTTCACCATGATTATGTTTCTAGGTTTGTCAGTACCGTAGCTATGCTCTTTTAGTTCCCCAAAATGGTAAGCGCCGAATATTCCCATCACTTATATCAACATCTCAAAATAACACGCCGTTATACAACTGAAATGCGTCAAAAGCAGCGTTAAACCAAACTCACTCACTCACCCAAAACAAGACGCAATCAACACAATAGTCCAGACAATACGGTGATTGATTTTATGAATAGCGATTGACGCCGTCGGGTAAGATTACAAACAATCAAATAGCGTCTTGCACGTGCAAAACAAATACTGGCTTGCAGGGGTACATGTGCCTGTCTGATTACACTAAACATATTGGTCGAATCATCAAGTGAGTGAGAGGCAGTGAGAGGGGATGTCATTTAGCGTCACTGCCGTCAGCAGTTAACAAGGGACGCAACTCTGCACAGCGAATCGCAGCACCTTAGACAACTGATGGAATTAAGAATGAGCTCTATCTGTATTACAATCATCCAATGATTGTAAAAGCACACTTGATGTAACTCCTTTGGGAGTGCCGGACAGATGAACAGAAGGGCCAGTCCTGGAAGCATTGGTGTATTGTCTAACGATGGGCTTGGGTATATACGATGGGGATGACGATCTGTGAGGTAATTGTGACCCAAAGACCTTTTCGAGCCAGTCACCAGGGATGGAAACAGACTCCGAGGCAGATTTTGGAAACATGAATGAATTTGTGCTATGATGTCCAGCATATGTCTGTATAGATTCCAAGTTTGGATTCACTTTCTCCCATCGGGCCCTGCTCCATCTATACAATGACAGTATCAAATGCGGTGAAAATGACTGCCTCCGTCGCCTAGTGGTAGAGCGTCCGCCCGGGGAGCGGAAGGTCCGGGGTTCGATCCCTGGCCGTATCATACCAAAAGACATTAATGAATGGTACTTGTTGTCTTGGGCTCGGCATTAAGGGGCTAAAACAAGGACTGCTCGGCTCTGAGTCAGTATACTGTGTCTGAATGGGTTATTAATGTTAAACTGCGGCATGGTATCTCAGTGAACTAGCACTATAAATCGGCATCAATCAAGACTAGTACAAGCAGCCATACAAACACTTGCACACTCGTGCATGTACGTCGCTATATATCTGCAAAAATCTTGCACGTGGCGTTAAACCTCATTTCACCTCCATCTGTATAGGAAGACAACTTCTAAAATTTACCGGTAAATCAGCTATTGAGCCCCACCCACTTTGTTTATACAACACTGAGTTGTCTCGGCCAAACGTATGTACTAAACTAGTACAAATCTAATCAGCCATTCTGGACTAGTCAAGCAAATCAATTTTAAAAAAGTCAATTAACATCCAATGAGAAATAACTTTTGTCACTGTGCTGTAGTAACGGTTAAAAGGAAAAGCTGCGGTACATTACAGGATGACTATAACTTCACATGGCTATCAGGAGTTTAACATCAATGAACACAAAGGCAAAGTTTTTTAATATACAAATCCAGTTTATTGAAGTTGAAACAATATTTAAAAGGAATGACTGAAAAAGTTTCAGATGAATAGGAATGGCATTGGAAATATAAAATCAAAATCAAGTTGTTGCTACAAATGCATGCAACAATCTATTTTCTGACAGAGAATGTGCATACAACAGAAGGCAAGAACCTGCATTCCTCTCATTATACTCAGCAATTGTACATATGGTAATACCGTGTGGATCTTAAATGTGTCCAAGTTATAAACTCTTTTTGGCCCTGCACTTCAGCCCTCTTTTATTTATCATGTAGAAATATGATCACGGTAGTATTTGGCAATACAATACAGCCACCATTCATCCATAAAATCTTTTTTATGCAACATGCACCCACTAACCCTTAAGTTTAAAAATCGATTTCAATGATTTTCATTTCTTTTATAGTGGGGGCGGTCGGGTACCCTAGTGGTCGTCACGCCAGAGACCCGGGTTCGAATCCTGACATGGGTACGATGTGTGAAGCCCATTTCTGGTGTCCCCGCCGTGATGTTGCTGGAATATTGCTAAAAGTGGCGTAAAACCAAACTCACTCACTCACTCTTTTATAGTGAAAATTGTATTATGCTATCTAGCTGATGACATTATTTGTAAGTGCCTGTTTTTCTTTTGTAATTTCTTGAACACATTTCACACTTCTCTCAGTTATATACCTGACAAATACTTACATGTGCTGCTGTCTAAATTCACATCATTTAGGCAACTGGCAACTTTACGTCGCATAAGACCTTCACATTACACGTACCGCATCGTCTTACCGCTGCACTGCAATGCATGCATATGTTGTAGCGTGATTGGCGATACTACAACATAGATATGGGTAGGTATACAATGAAAATCTACTTCATTTCTTAAAGTGTGATTTTCAAACATCAAAGGCAATCATTTTCGGTACCGAGTGCAAACCATCTTACAAAGCGACCTGGAATGAACGATCAGTTGATCGCACTGCCTCACTTCGAATGTTTATAGATCTTTGTTTAAACGAAATGGAATACTGTCTATACACCAGCGTGACCGTTGCCGCTAGAGATGAAGGCTATACTGGTCAACTGTCTAGAGGTGTCCTATAAACATGTACCGCTTGTACCACATGTATCGTCAATTTAAGGTTGGACCGTCTGAGTCAGTCACTAGCCGGGTGAGTGAAGGGAAGATGAATTGAAAAAGATCGCCCATTGCGAAGATCCATGCTCATGATGTCAATCACTAACATGTCTGATCCAGTCTCGATTATTTACAGACCGCCATCATATAGTTTGAATATTGCTGAGTACGGTGTAACCAAAACAAACCATTAATCAACAGCACAAGCCCCTCACACCAACAGTAAGGAAGTGGGACAAAGGACAAAAAAGGAGAAGAGCTTGCTAATATCACAAGCTGTCCAACATCTATAACCTTCGCTCAGCAATGACACTGGGATAATATATATTAATATCAATTATTTCTAATCACAGTGGCATATCTCTGATAAGGTTTTTGATGTCCTGGTCAATGAAATACTGGTGTGTCACCTGTATTGTTCTGTACATTCACATCAGCTCCAGCCTCCAGTAACACATCCACACACTTTGTAGATCCCCATATTGCTTCTGCTGCAGCCGTATGAAGTGGTGTGTCACCTGTATTGTTCTGAACATTAACATTAGCTCCAGCCTTCAGTAACGCATCCACACACTTTGTAGATCCCCACATTTCTCCTGCTGCTGCCGCATGAAGTGGTGTGTCACCTGAATTATTCTGTACATTCACATGAGCTCCAGCCTCCAGTAACGCATCGACGCACTCTGTAGATCCCTGTCCTGCTGCTGTATGGAGTGGTGTGTCATCTGTATTATTCGGTATATTCACTTGAGCTCCAGTCTTCAGTAACACATCAACACACCCTGCAGATCTCCACCCTGCTGCTTTATGAAGTGGTGTGTCACCTGTATTGTTCTGTACATTCACATGAGCTCCAGCCTTCAGTAACGCATCCACACACTTTGTATATTTATCCCAAAATGCTCGAGTAAGTGGTGTGTCACCTTTTTTAATCTGTACATTCACATAAGGTCCAGCCTTCAAGAACACATCCACACACCCTGCAGATCTCCACATTACTACTGTATGAAGTGGTGTGTCACCTGTATTATTCCGTACATTCACATGAGCTCTAGCCTTCAGTAACGCATCCACACACTCTGTAGATCCCCGAACTACTGCTGTATGAAGTGGTGTGTCACCTGTATTATTCTGTACATTCACATGAGCTCCAGTCTTCAGTAACGCATCCACACACCATGTAGGTCCATACCTTGCTGCTGTATGAAGTGGTGTGTCACCTTTATTATTCTGTACATTCACATGAGCTCCAGCCTTCAGTAACACACCCACACACCCTGCAGAGCCCAACCTTGCTGCTACTGCTGTATGAAGTGGTGTGTCACCTGTATTGTTCTGTCCATTCATATGAGCTCCAGCCTTCAGTAACGCATACCCACACTCTGCAGATTCATACCATGTTGCTGCTCTATGAAGTGGTGTGTCACCTGTATTGTTCTGTACATTCACATGAGCTCCGGCCTTCAGTATCACATCAACACACACTGCAGATCTCAACACTGCTGCTTTATGAAGTGGTGTGTCACCTGTATTGTTCTGTACATTCACATGAGCTCTAGCTTTCAGTAACGCATCCACACACTCTGCAGATCTTCTTCCTTCTGCTGTATGAAGTGGTGTGTCACCTGTATTATTCTGTACATTCACATGAGCTCCAGCCTTCATTAACGCATCCACACACTTTGTAGATCGCAACATTTCTCCTGTTGCTGCTCTATGAAGTGGTGTGTCACCTGAATTATTCGGTACATTCACATGAGCTCCAGCCTTCAGTAACGCATGAACACACTTTGTAGATCCCAACATTTTTCCTGCTGCTGCTGTATGAAGTGGTGTGTCACCTGAATAATTCGGTACATTCACATAAGCTCCAGCCTTCAGTAACGCATCCACACACTTTGTAGATCCCCACATTTCTCCTGCTGCTGATTTATGAAGTGGTGTGTCACCTGAATTATTCGGTACATTCACTTGAGCTCCAGCCTTCAGTAACACACCCACACACTCTGTAGATCCCCGAACTACTGCTGTGTGAAGTGGTGTGTCACCTGTATTATTCTGTACATTCACATGAGCTCCAGTCTTCAGTAACGCATCCACACACCATGTAGGTCCATACCTTGCTGCTCTATGAAGTGGTGTGTCACCTTTATTATTCTGTACATTCACATGAGCTCTAGCCTTCAGTAACACACCCACACACTCTGTAGATCCCCGAACTACTGCTCTGTGAAGTGGTGTGTCACCTGTATTATTCTGTACATTCACATGAGCTCCAGTCTTCAGTAACGCATCCACACACCATGTAGGTCCATACCTTGCTGCTGTATGAAGTGGTGTGTCACGTTTATTATTCTGTACATTCACATGAGCTCCAGCCTTCAGTAACACACCCACACACCCTGCAGAGCCCAACCTTGCTGCTAATGCTGTATGAAGTGGTGTGTCACCTGTATTGTTCTGTACATTCACATGAGCTCCAGCCTTCAGTAACGCATACACACACTCTGCAGATTCATACCATGTTGCTGCTCTATGAAGTGGTGTGTCACCTGTATTGTTCTGTACATTCACATGAGCTCCAGCCTTCAGTAAGGCATACACACACTCTGCAGATTCATACCATGTTGCTGCTCTATGAAGTGGTGTGTCACCTTTATTATTCTGTACATTCACATGAGCTCCAACCATCAGTAACGCATACACACACTCTGCAGATCTTCTTCCTTCTGCTGTATGAAGTGGTGTGTCGCCTTTATTATTCTGTACATTCACATGAGCTCCAGCCTTCAGTAACACTTCAACACACTTTGTAGATCCCCGTCTTACTGCTGTATGAAGTGATGTGCCACCTGTATTATTCTTTACATTCACATTTGCTCCTTTCTCCAACAAAAACGAGACAACATGAGGGTTTCTTCCACATGCACTGTGAAGAGGAGTATCGCCATCAGATGAAATCATGTCAACTTTAGCACCCTCCTCAAACAACATCTTGATGATACGCAAGTTTTTCAACCCACAAGCAATGCACACTGCATCACCATCAACCTTTGCTCCTCTGTCTAAAAGAAAACGCGTCATATGCGTGTTCTGGCTCTTCAATGCACATTTAAGACCTCTCTGTTTTTCTAAATGACATCCTTTTTGCAGGAGCAGTTCCACCACCCCAACATGACCACTTTCTATGGCACAATATAGAGGAGCTTGCGGGTAAGGACAAAAACTTCGTGAATAATGCTCATTAACATTCACGCCCATGTTGATTGCATGTTCCACAGCAGATGTAAAGCCATTTGCGCAAAGGTATTGTAAGACTGTTTGATTGTCACTGTCTCGTGCATTCAGTTTAGGATGAAGGGCCAGAATCTGATTTACAAACACACTGTCTTTGGTTTCTGCTGCTAACATAAGTGGCGTTTTCTCCTTCCAACCATATCTAGCGTCTATCTCAAGCTGCTGGTGTTCACTGATATAGGTCAGCACTCTACAAGCAGCATTCATGCACACCCCAAATAAAATGTCTCTCAGTTCACTCTTGCTGAATGTTCTGTTTTCTTTCTCCATAATAAATTTGATGAGATGATGTGACTTGCTGCTCGAAATTAATTCACAAAATGACTTATTTGAGGACCTATCAGCTAGTTTGGAAATATAAAAAAGAGACATGCGACCCTGTGTCTTCAGGCAGCCCATAAGCAAGTCTATAAACTCTGAATTACAACACGCCTGGTGCGATAAGACATGCAACAAATTTCTCCTTGAAATTTCAGTCGCAAATCTTCTTGCTAGATGTTCAGCATAGTTCCATGAGATGTTTGCAACAAGATCTGTCTCACCAGGAACGTTTTCCCCTGGTCTTGTGGAGGCTTTAAGACGAAGTCGCTGATGGATGAATGACAAACTACAGAAATCGATCACAAACTTTGATTGTTTTGTACTGAGAATTAAAGCGACGCTGTCATATATAGAGGGATGGTCAAACATGTATGTGTCATCTTCCTTCTTGAGGTAGGATCCAACTAAATCATCAGCAGCTGTTATGTATTTGCATCCATGGGCATCCTCATCTTCCAACTCTTGTCCACTGATCTTTCCATCCCTTTTAATCATAGCCTTGAACAGGGAAACCTTTATCTCATCTTTAAGAAATTTATCTAGGGTCTGTTTGAGGAATGATAGAGGTGCTTGAAAAAACTTATCTATTGGAAGCTGAGTCAGATCCTTTTCATATGTTGTGACAAACATTTTACACACGTGTGGAAAGCCGTGGGGACAGTCAGATTGGCATATCAGAGACACGGTTGACTCATCAATGCCTATGTTTTTTGTTTTGGCATGAACATGCCATATCTTCCTTCGCTCTATAGAGTCTCTCTGTGAGGAAACTTCCACCACATACTGGGGACTAGATATGTAACCTGCCATCCTTCCCAAGTCTGCCAGTGAGGATTTCAGGACATAGTCACGGCCTACGAGGATAATGATCGTTTTGCTTTTGTTTGGTGCTGTTCTCTTTAGAATTGTTTGCTGATCCTTTGTTCTCTCTTTTTTACTTTGAGTGATCTTATCCATAGAGTCCTTTTCAGTGGTCTTGTCTGGATCCTTCATATCCACAAAAGATCGAAGACTTGGTCTCCACTTGGCCCATTCTACTACATCAAATTCTAGATCACCGAATATGTCATCTAACATAATGACAGGGTTTGTGCTGGCCGTTATGACGTCATTGAACTCTTCTGGTGACGCCACCTGATACACTTGTCTCCCCTGTGTGTGCTGATCTTTGAGGGCCATGTAGGCTATTGTAGACTTTCCCTCTCCTGGCCTTCCTTTAATTGTCACCCATGTTGCTCCACTGTCCAGCTTCTCCGTCACTTTTTGGAGGGCTTCTGTCTCCACCATGTCTTTAGTCATTGACTGAATCCTAGATTCCGTTCTTTCTATGAAAACAAGGCACATTTGATATATATATAAAACTATATAAAAATATGTGTAAAAGTATACAGTCTGCCATATTTTAATTTGACCTCAATTAAAGGAATAAAGTGTGGCCCATATCAATCACATACAGTTTGACTCTGAGATCCCTGATTTTGAAATGTGTCAGTGAGTGAGTTCACGTTTTAACAATTTTTCATCCATATTGTGACTTCAATATTTACAAATTGTATATGAAATAAAATCATGTCAACAAGGACTGTACAAAAATTAGTAACATAATTTCACCAAGAGGTTGGACAATACTAAATTCATACTGTGAATGTTGAATATTGTCGATATACAATCGATAGTTTGCACAAAACCTCTTCAATCGAATGTGCCACCTTCAAATTGTTTAAATTGAAACACTGCTTTTCACAGCATTTCTCTATTTTTCGATATAGGTCTGCAAGTTATTTGTTCTGAACCAGAGAGCAGACAGTTTAAGAAATGTTTCGATAGTACCTGTTCTGATTGTGGATAATAACAGAATGTTCATATGAACGAAGCAGCCAGAATACCAAAGTATAGAATTAAAGTGACAAAACCGTTTTTATAATCATAAGAAACAGTACACTGAATGATTCTGCCTATGTATCACAAGCACCTGTTTATGAATCACTATCAAATAGTGATGATACCAGGTCCTTGCAAGTAGGTGAGGGTTTGTATCCTGCTTGACATAATGGGAAATTTTAATATTGGAAGTTGAAGTCATTCCCCTTGTCATACAGTCTTATGGAGAGGTGTTGTGTCACTCAGCATCTTCATTCATATATCTAAATATGAAAAACAGTCCAGGCGGTCTGACTGGCCTCCCTTATTTATAGCTCAGGTGGCTAAACCAGTGAAAGGGTCATTGACTGATATCCGATCACTAATATACCTGAAGCCTAAGATAAACGTCTTGGCCAAATTGCCTTGTTTTCACTTTGCCAATCCGAACAGAAATACTGATTAATATATTTTTAATTTGTTGATTTTATCCACCATGTACTTAGGAGTTGCCATGGTTGTTGTATCAATTTCTAATGGATATGTTGTATCACTAGATACAAATACGCCCGAACAACCTACCAACGTACATTTGATCTGAGTGATTTAGACGAAAAAATCATATTGACACACTACAATTTGTATATGGTCCTGTAGGGATGTAACATAATGTGAAATGTAACAGAGATCAAGAAATACCACTTCAGGGACTTTGCTAGGTTCATCACAAAACTCGATGTAAATTATAGTCATGAACACTTAAACTGTGTACACGAGGTGACAGTTGGAGTGAGTGAGTGAGTTTGGTTTTACGCCGCTTTTAGCAATATTCCAGCAATATCACGGCGGGGGACACCAGGAATGGGCTTCACACATTGTACACATGTCGGGATTCGAACCCGGGTCTTCGGCGAGACGATCGAACGCTTTAACCACTAGGCTACTGGACCACCCCGGTGACAGTTGGAACAAATGTGAAGATTATCACAGCCAACGTTTTCTACAACATATATATGCCTAAGCTGAACGATCATTGTGAGAACAAGTACATGGATCTAGATAACTCACTCCTGATCTTCTGTGCTGCAACAGTCAATGGCTTCTCCTCTTCCTCTTGGCGGGTCTGAGGTGTACCAACGTTCTGCTGTCCGCCAAAGTTCAAATTCCTTGCGCCCTTGACCGTCACATCTCCAAACTGCTGCTGTACTTTGAAAAGGTTGTACTGGGTGACTGTAACAGGAACTATAAAACTGAAGCTTTCAGGACCGTTTTCCATATCTCGTACCTCACGTGATACTGACAACAGCCAACTGTCATGAACAGACAACAAACTGCTACTTCATATTAGTTGCTATATTTTCGTAAAAAGTAACTTTCGTGTTACGATTGTTCGAAAGTGCCAAACCTGCAATTGAGCAGAGCTGGGCCTTGTATAGTGGTTGTATAGGGTTAATGACTTCCCTGTAAAAAAGTGAGCCTATTAGCTTAAAAAAGGCAAAGTCATTTGAAAACACCATGTCGAAGGTATTAGATATTTGAACAATAAGTCATGTCCCTGTTTATCAGCACTCACCTACAGGAGAATCACCAGTCACTGGTGCCACAGGTAGCCCGGACGACTGTTTCTCTGATACAACAGATCCTGGTATTCTGGGTACAAGAGAGGATGTGGACGATGGTGTCAGGGCTGCTGGTGTCAGGGCTGCTGTTGTCGGGTCCTTTAGGCTGGATGTGTTAGGAACTACACAATATGGAGTTGAGGACAGTTGTGCCAGGCTTGTTGTCTGATCAACATCACCAACTGAAACTGGTTGGAGTTGTGTCACCTGTTGTGGTGCTGACGCTATTTCTCCCTGTGGTTGTTGACAACATCTCACAATGTGTTGTGCTAGTGCCCTGGTATCTACGAAGGAACAAGCATGTCACAGTTAGATTTCCAGCTCTTTGAAAACAATATCTAAATATACATTAGCTCCGATTCAGTTTGAAACAAAATACATGTGCCCCTACACTGCTGAAAAAAACATTGTCTGACATTAAAATTACATTGTTGCAAGGTGTTTTTAAGTAAGACATATTTAGGTTCATTTAAAAAAATCTGGTTTTGCAGCTGTAGCTTAATACCGAATCCCAAATAGGTTTATTATCACCACCCTAGCCGTGTTGACAAACAGTTATAGTTAGTTAAACAGTAGGACAAAAGATTGTGGAAGCTCCACACGATTTTGTCGAAACTAATATGCACACTATTGTCAGTACTTGAAAATGTTAATGCAGGAGTAAATAGACTGAGTAGTAACGGGACTATCCGGCAGATGCACCTTACTGTGGTTGTCCTTGAGGTGCAATTGGGGGAATGCTTCTCTTTGGAAAGCACATGTTAATTTCAGTAATTGAGCAGGATTTCAAAATACTAGTATCTATCTTATTAATTGAGAAATATTTTCCCGTCCATATGCTTCAATTCCACAGGGCACACCTAAATTTCTTTAACAGCTACTGACATTCTTAATTCACTGTAAAAAGGAATGTCATGAACGTCCCGTAAATTAAGAGTTTGTGTATTATTAATGAGATGCTTAAAAGTGAAATTGCTTCATGCATACCTGTTTCCACAAGTTGGTATGACTCTTGCTGAACAGTCTGGAATTTGACCTCTACAGTACCTGCTCCAAGCTGTGACAAGTCTTCTATTCCTTCCCCCTCTTCCTCATCTGTGATGTCATCAAATAAGCATTCGTCAGCACTCTCTTCGTCAACATCTTTATTTTCTGCACCCTCCGCAGTACAGCCTGCTCCTTCAGTTGTTCCTTGAGAATTGTCCATAGGAATATCTGCAAGCTTCATGTTTTCCCCGTCTGATGACGTGTCCCCATCATTGTGACTCCCAGGGCACTCTGCTGGTGTACATCCTCCACACTCTTTGTCACTATCATCCATCTGGCCTTGATCGTTCTGATGCAGTCTTTGAACATTCTTCACTGTTTCTTGTTTTTCATCAGTGTCTTCAATCTAAGTCGGCATCTAACACATCTTCGTCCTACAAGAAAAAATTCCTAACGAGTACAGTGCCTGCCTGGAGGACAGCTTTACATTTGGTATCAGTGTATCAAGTATGAGAATTCTCTGCCACAGCACTGTAGCTCACCTGGATATTTTGTCAAATCGGTGCTAGCTTTAAGTAAAATCTCTGCAAGTAAAATCTGCAAACAATACATTTATTATATAAATAAATTTGACATATACAGTTATAAAGGGTTGTTGTTTTCATCAAAAGTCATTTTTCATTATCATGAAAACAAAAACCAGTATTTTCACGTGTGTGAAAACAGTATTTCCATGGCCCTTGGATGACAGAACAAGTTTCATTCATGGTAACCGCCCTTGAAAGTTGTCTCCCTTGGTTCCTCTGTCAGCGTAAAACCAGAAGAAAACAAGATGAGTAAACAAACTTTCAACTTGTGGTATTGACTACGTGATGTCCTATAACTTTCATATTACAAAACAATATCACCATGATGTCTGTCATGTTCTTGTTTGACTATCGTACCACAAACGTGTGACGAAGTGGGTCACAGATCTTCTGCCATGATTGTCACTTTGTGGTGTACATGTATACGTGCACTTTCCCACTGGTGCGCCACAAAAGCAGCTTTTACATTATGGTTTTCAAACTTCACTTAATGAGCACCTGGTACCTGACGAAAAGCATGAAATAGTCTTTAGTTATTCTCAAATATAATAAAAGGAAATTAATTATTCCTAGCCAAATAAAGAGAGCATGAAATATCTAATATTTGTCTCATCTTAGAAATAATTAGTGCCTATTTATGCAATTTATAGAAAGAAGTTAGTGCTTTGGGGATAAATATACTGCATTGCAGTTTCTGATGGCAAATGGTGACACTTCCGTCTATTCACCGCCGCAAAAAATATAAACAATGAAAAGGACTGAGCGGCAATGCATTCATATATAACTTTTGGCGGACCCTAATGACATGAGGTGATAAGCTGAGGGCGTTTTGACGCAACACAAACTGATCCGTTTTCACTTGAATCAATTACGAGTCAGTGAGTGAGTGAGGGAGTGAGCTGGGCTTAACGCCCCTTGTAACAGTATTCCAGTTATATCACAGCGTGTCAGCTTAATGTGGGAGGAAAGCCTGAAGTGATGCAGTTCTAAGACGTTTAAGCGGTGAAACCCATGATCATGGGTATAATGCTGACAAACCTAGAAACATAATCGGGGCGAACCGTGATTCGAACCCACAATCATAGGTTTCCGGTGTGCCAAAGGGACGCAACTCTGGACAGCGAATAACGGCGCCTTAGACCACAGGGCCACCCGTGCTCCCCCAAAGTGTGAACACCATAACAAATACATGTAAAACTTGCATGCAGAGAACTTTGTGAATTAAAAGAAATATATCCCTTGTTTATTTTTCCTCTGATTTCGCCATTCTGTAACAACGGGACCAACATACATACTTTATGATGCTACCTGGCTAGTTTCGTTATATCAGTCACAGACATCGCGTCTTTGTAATTTTTTTATCATTTGTTTTGTTTGTTTGTTATTTGACGCAACACTCAGCAATATAACAGCTATAAATAATTTAATCTGGACCAGACAATCCACTGATTGACATCATGAGCATCGATCCATGCAATTAGGATACGATGACATGGATAAACCAAGCGAGCGTGACCACTGACCATCCGATCTCGTTAGTCCTCCTCCTACGACAAGCATAGTCACCGTATATCTATATATGTATATATGTATCCGTTTCTTCCATGCGCGAAATACGCATAAATTTGGAAACCGCACGTTAAATCTCCTATTTACGTAAGTAAGTAACTATTCGTTCTCAAAACCAAGGGGGCACGGGTGGTCCAGTCGTTTAAGGCGCCGCGATTCGCTGTGCGGAGTTGTGTCCCTTGGGCACTCCAGAAACCTATGATTGTGGGTTCGAATCCCGGTTTGCCCCAGGTATGTTTCTAGGATTGTCAGCACCATACCCGTGCTCGTGGGTTTCACCGAAGTGGCAAAGGTCTCAGACCTGCATCATTTCAGGCTTTCCGCCAACATTAAGCTGACACGCCGCGAAAAAACTGGAATACTGTTAAAAGCGGCGTTAAACCCAACTCATTCACTCACAAACTGTCAAAGTCAACCCGACAATAACTAGTCACACAGGCCTTATAACAGACAAGCATCAATCGGTCACACTAACTTAACGTGTTGTATCATGGGAAATGCGTGGATGAGCCTCGAACCGCGAGACCCACTTGAGTTGTCGGGCTCAACGATCAATGGTGGTCAAACCCTGTCATGGAGACAGGCGTGAATGTTGACATGTTTTCCATGTAGCGAGGTGTGAGGACTTTGTACAGCGTGAATAATTGACGTGTCAGGGCAAAGAAGTAAACATACTGTAAGCTAAGAATAGCGGAGGTAACTTTCCTAGAGAAGTGTGATTCATGATTGTACAAAAACGTCGCACTCACAACGTTATTGGTTTCAATTTGAACAATGTGTGGATGACAGACATTTACAGATACATTTTGAGCCCCTCTGCTACCTACAAAAGTACCAAATGTAATTAACTTTTAGTAAAGTATGAGAACCATGACAAATGCATGTAATATTTTGTAAAAAATAACTCTACATGCAGCAATATTTATGAGTAAAATGTAATCTATCCTTTGTGTCTTTATCTGTTGGATTTCGCCATTCTGTAACAACGGGACCAACTAACATAGGACGTTGTACTTCTAACGCTTCTGGACAATAAGTAGTTACACAGTGATGATGACAGACAAGCAGAAATCCGTCAACACTTACTTACTGTGTTGTATCATGGAGAAATGCGCGGACGAGCTCCGCCCCCTGTCAGCAGGTCAAGACAAATCTCAATGGAGCTAGTCCTAGCTCCTCACAGCAATGCCTCGTTCCCGGCGCTACCTTGTATTTGAATAGCGGAAGGTAGCTCCTCAACAGCACTAGCACAGGTTGTTTTCCGCATCCTTCTGTTTATCAAGGCGTTGCGCCGTGTACTAGCGGCATGTGGGTTATAACCTCAAGATTACAGCGGACATTCCTTCCGAGGGGAGGCTGTACTTTTGCTTTGAATATCGGCATGCCACAAATGCTGATAAAGTTAAAGGCCAACTGGAAGTCAAACGTCAGTTTCTGCAGCATTATTCATAAACACAGTCTCGTGAAGGTTCGGAATCGTAACAAGTAACTCCTTTTAAGAAGAGGAGCCCCAGTGATATGGGAGATTCCGAGAGGAAAGTATTCTATGGCTGTCTAGGCTGCCACCCAAACCGATCTAAACGGGACCCAAAAGTTTATTGTATGCTATATAGTCATATGGAAGTGGACAAAAGTTATACATTGTATTCCGGTCGATTGTGTTCTTGCATTTACTTGTAAGTCAGGACAAAATGACATAAAAGGGGAGTTGTTGAATTTAATTATTTTTATTATTAAATGTTGCCTATACACTAATCTTTAAATATTTATATATACACGCTATAATATTATAATTTTATATATATGTGGCAGATACATATTATTGTATTATATAGTTATGTAAATATTAGTTTTGAGTCATTTAAGCGTTGCATTGATATTTGTATAATGACAATTGCATTATGAATTGCAGGTGTATTATTTCCGATTTTAACTAATGAATGTATTTTTTCTATCAACAGGTTTGGTCATTTTTGATACAGGCTATAATTATAAGGACACAGAAGGTTGAGTCTATTATTAGCTCTATAGTTAGTTTCATTCTAATATGATTAAGGGTAGATAGGTAGGGCTACCACATTATTACGTTGCCTGATTTAATTAACACCGATTGGATCATTCAAACTCTTGTCCTCTTTCCTAATTCAAAGCTGCACTTCACATTCACCCTTTGCACCATCAGGATTGTAGTACCATGGAGTCATAAACAGATGCAAATACCTCACAAGTTAGTTTAATCTTTTACATTGGTTTATGAGTGTGTACACTTTATGTTATATTTGTATTGTGTGGGGATAAATAAAAACAAGTAAATTCAACCTTAATAATGGTAAATCTAACCTAAATGTAAATAACACTTCAGTCAGGTTTTAGTGCATTTCAGAGTATAGAATCAATACAAAAAACTATCAAATAACTCATATAATTCATTCAGGTAATTATATATTCCCTATGAGTGAATTGTTGCATGTTTGAGTGTTTGATTGACTGGTTTCATATATGAGAGGAAGAATAGTGTATATGTGAATGTAAGTACGAATGTGATTTTAGCCTAAGTTGTTTTGATGTGCTCCAGGTGTTGGTAATGATAATAGCTATGTTGATTTGTAGTTACTGTAGAATTAATGTTGCATATTGTTTACACGGATTTTAGGTACGCTTGGTATATCTGGCTTGGCGGAGCTTGGTGAACGTCGTGTGCTCCCTAGTGCCATACACCGGGTAGGAACTATGCTATTTTGCATCTCGTATGTTTATGTGATACTGAGTATCACATCTATTCCATTTGATATGCGTATTGCATTAAGACGTCTGTGTCATATTTAATTTGAAGATATTTTGAAGATATGAGTTAATCAATGAGGTATCTCCCCTTGTTGTATTGTCATACGACATGTCATTCATGTTTCACCTAATTTGTGTAATGGACTGTTTTTAAGCCTCAAGTATATTGTATGACGCTGTATATATTGAATGATATATTGTTTCAGGGTGTGTTAATTGACCGGAATAAAACGTTCTCACCCCGTAACCAGTGTCTTGGACCTTTGATGTTGCCTCCACACTAAAATCGGTTACATATATATATATATATATATATATATATATATATATATATATATATATATATATATAGCATGTTACCGTTCTAAAGTCATCCTCTCATATTGTTCATAGT